GAATCAGATGCTCTGTACACTGGTTCTGGAATCAGACGCTGTACCCAGGTTCTGGAATCAGACACTCTGTACACTGGTTCTGGAATCAGACGCTCTTTACACTGGTTCTGGAATCAGACGCTCTGTACACTGGTTCTGGAATCAGACGCTCTATACTCTGGTTCTTGAATCAGACGCTGTACCCAGGTTCTGGAATCAGACACTCTTTTCACTGGTTCTGGAATCAGACGCTCTGTACACTGGTTCTGGAATCAGATGCTCTATACTCTGGTTCTTGAATCAGATGCTCTGTACACTGGTTCTGGAATCAGACGCTGTACCCAGGTTCTGGAATCAGACACTCTGTACACTGGTTCTGGAATCAGACGCTGTACCCAGGTTCTGGAATCAGACACTCTGTACACTGGTTCTGGAATCAGACGCTGTACCCAGGTTCTGGAATCAGACACTCTGTACACTGGTTCTGGAATCAGACGCTGTACCCAGGTTCTGGAATCAGACACTCTGTACACTGGTTCTGGAATCAGACGCTGTACCCAGGTTCTGGAATCAGACACTCTGTACACTGGTTCTGGAATCAGACACTCTGTACACTGGTTCTGGAATCAGACACTCTGTACACTGGTTCTGGAATCAGACACTCTTTTCACTGGTTCTGGAATCAGATGCTGTACCCAGGTTCTGGAATCAGACACTCTTTTCACTGGTTCTGGAATCAGATGCTGTACCCAGGTTCTGGAATCAGACACTCTTTTCACTGGTTCTGGAATCAGATGCTCTGGGCTGCTGTTCTTGTTGTTTATTGTGTGTGTTTGTGTTTCAGGGACATGAATGGCTTCGTGGTGTGGTGTTTAAAAGGCCAGTTCTCATCTCCAACTCCTCAGGCCAAGCCGCGCAGTGTCAGTCTGGACATGCGCAGTCTCTCGCTGGAAGGAACCGGTCCCCCGCAGCCTCTCAAGCCCAGGTGGAGTACTTTCACAGCTGTCACTGCGGAGAACATCAGCATCATGGGATTCACAATGACACGAGATTCTCGCATGTCACAAACAGACTCCAGTGTTTGGATGATTTGACTGGTAAATTAGACTGAAGCAAATGAGCTGTTTGTCTCTGCAGTATCCACACAGGTAGAACTATCTATTCAGAGCAAAGTGTTCGACCAGTGTCTCATTATATCACTCTCCATCACTGGATTCACAGCTTTAAATCATCTTTAGTGATTCTGCGTTGGCTTTAAACCACAGTGATATAGCCTAGTGCTGACTGAACACGAAAAAACCCTAGAGTGTAGGTGTTAAGAGTGGTTGCTAGGGTATTACTATGTGGTTGCTTGGGTGTTCTGACTGTCTTTTTCCATAGCAACCCTCCTGAAGCCCCATCGAAAGTCAGCCGTCGGCGCAGTAAGCTGGACATGAACAACCCGATGGAGGCTGTGTATGACAGCGGTAACCACAGCAGCATCCACGGTCTCACAGGTACAGCAACAGACAAACCAATCACATCATCGCTTCATATAACAGGAGCACACGCAATCTGTGTCCTATATAAATATGTCATCATATGTATCATGCATTTAACAATCTTCACATGTGAATTTGTCACGTGCCTCACTCTTGTTTGTGTTTGTCCTCAGCGATGGATGGAGTTCCTTTCTCTCTACACCCGAAGTTTGAGTCTCAGTCAAACTCAAAGGTCAGAGGTCACTGCATCACTCATTAACATGTGGAAATCACATGCATGTATCTGGTCATTACGCCTCAATGTGCTGTGACTAGAGTGAAGAATTTAGGGTAAGATGAGAGAGTTCTGTTCGAGAGATCTTAAAAAGTGATTATTGTACAAAAGTCTTTGACCACAGGATGCTGTCATTAACCAGTCACAATCACAGTGACCCATAACAGACGTGTTGTTGTGTCTGTCAGGTGTCTGTGAGCACGCTGAGTGACATCCGTATCAAATCAGTGCAGGACATTGAGAATGAGGTGAGGTGATCTGCATCTGCACCAAGCTTTATTGCTTTTGCAAGTACCATTAATAAGATTGTAAGACATCATTTTGAGACGATGTAGAGACATCAGATTTTTTCTCATCGTTCTGGAGGACTTTTATTTTGAATCTGCCTTTGTTCGTGTTGATCGTTTGTCCGTTTCGTGTGTAGTTCAGCAGATTTCACTGACAGATTGTTTCTCTGCAGTATAACTACACGTTTGCGGTGGAGGAACTGGCAGCGAAGAGAATCTGTCCGTCAGTGAGCGGCTGAAATCATTCCTCTCGTCTTCTCAGAATCCCATTCCGTTAGATTAGCTCTCAGGCTCTGGTCCATGAAATCACACACTTATTTCTGGTTTAGGATGACCAAAACTCACACTACTGGTTTTGCAGGGCTGGTTCTGGTTGGTCTCATTCTCTCTTTTCTCTACCGGGTTGGTTGAACATGAAGGATTTTCTGCATCCAAACACATTAGGTGCGTGTGTTTCTGCGAAACACTAACAGGCGAATCAAAGGGCTTGACAAAGTGCCTTCTCCACAGAGATATGTACATGTCATTTTATAAGGCCACAATATTTTATGTATATGTTTTGGGATTTTGAGCTGCAGCTTGGTATTTAAAAAGTGTGGTTACACTAATATTCTTTATTTATCGTATGAAAACTGTTCGTGGGGACCAAAATACAATGTGTTTTTCCACTACTCTTTTGTACTTGCTTCGTTAAAATCTGTCTTTTTGTGGAATTTTAATAAAAATTATCATATTTGCAGACTTACACAAAGGAAGTTACGTTTTAACTAGACATTTTCTGTAAAATTCCTCATGTAGACCTAAACCTGTTTATATGAACGTATATTTTTTTGTTTTACTTTTCTATATCTACATAAATGCCTTATTTCAGATCATAAACAAAACCACAGACGCACTTTTGTTTTGAAATAGTATACGGAAATAGCGTTCTTCCGGCCGTCGAGGCAGCTCATTGGCTCGCTCAAGCGTCAGTCATTTAGCCACACCCCTTTGTGGGCGGAGTCAGTGCGGTCTGCGCGAGCGTCTCGCACACAATCACAGCGCTACACTGAAAACTGCTGCAGGATGGATCGAGGATATTCTTCAGGTGAGTGTTTTACTCGGTATTTATTTTATGTAAGAGTCTGTTTGTTTGCTGGGAGCGTGTATTGTTCTGTATTTAAGCCCTGTAACTTAACGTTACTGTGATTCGGTCTGTGTTGGTTAAGTGCTTAAAATGGCGCAGGTAAAAATAAGGCGCAGACTTCTTAAACGCTGTCTACACCATTAAAACAGAGTTAGTTAGGTTCCTTTAGTAGGAGTATTTTGATTTTAAAGCGTTCTTTCATCGATTGCTGTCGAACTCGATGTGAAACGCATTGTTATTGTCTTATTTAAGCGCGCGCATCGAGCAACGCAAACCATTAACGTAGTCGCACATTTGTCTTTATTCAGCGGCATATCAAACTAATAATCTTTATTCTCCGTTAGGCGCGTGTGAATGAATCAAGCAACGCGCTGCGATCATTCGGCGTCTAAAATCGCGTCAGTGAGTCAAAAGGGAAGAATCGCCTTCGTTTCTTGCCACACTTTCATTACTCGGTGACTTGATGGGATAAAATGGAGTCGTGTTGTAAAATGGCCGCCGTCTCCATTCTGCTGCTCTATTGTTCGATTAATCGCCTCGAGTGACTGACCTGTAAACACATTACAGTACAGCGGTTTACTTTGAGTTTAGTGTCAATACACAGAGTTTATAGTTAGTTAAGTGTACTGACATCTGTAATACCCCGTGCTATTGTAGTTCATGTCTAGTACTGGCATAAGTTTAAATCTGTGCATTTTCTCTTGAGGTAAAACAAATCTTAATTATTTTTGACGCCATGTCTGTAGGCTCAGGTACATTTCTGTCCAATCAGATGTCCTTTTGAGTGTCAAAGCCCCGCCCTCTAATGTCACCTGACTCTGAGTAGCCAGTAATAAGTCTTCATGGTTGTTAATACTCCACAGTTAAATCTGAAATGCAATTAGAAAGATTTCATTTTGGAACCTTTAGATAATAGCTTTTTATACGTGTTTTTATTTATTTATTTTCTTCTTGAGTATCATATCTGCTCCATCAGGCTTTCATGGCTCAGTCTGATATAGGCCTAGTGAGAATATTGAGGAAAAAACAGCTCAGTTTTATTCAGAGATTAAAGCAGTTTGCCGCAGGTGCTGATATTTATGTTGCTTATAATGTAAATCAATGAGATCTTTATAACAGTAGAGCAGATACTGACATAAAATTATCTAAATATCAGTCTATATCTCCAGTAATCTGTCTCAGTAAGATGAGATTGAAATGCTCCAAACATATAATGCAGTGATTGAGAGCTGAAGAAATAAAGGCTCCTCAGAAGATGTGAGATGTTCTGGAGGCTTGTGAAGATCATTCCTCCGCTGAGGAACAGTGAAAGTAAAGCTTCTGGAAACAAACGCTCCTCAAAAGATCCTGAGGATCAGATTTGAGACTCTAAAACATGATTGATGGAGACTCAAGTAAAGCTGAGCTGCTTCAGTCCAGTAAGTGTTCATGCTTACTGAATTACTGCAGTTATTCTGACCTTTACTTGATAAAAATCAGTCCAGATCTGACACGAGAAGCGTTTCTACAAGAGCTTCGACTGGATAAAAACTCTAAACTACCAATTGGATGACATTGAGGAGATTAAGTGTGACAGGTTTTGGTCATCTAGAGACTTAGATACTCCTGGATCAAATCTGATGTCCAGAACGAGCTGTAATTTCTCTCTCTGACGTGTTCTCGACTGGTTTCAGGGTTCTCTGGCTGGGGAGGGTCGGGTGGAGGAGGATCGTCCAGAGGTGAGTCTGTGGCCGTGTTCAGCTCCGTCATCGTTCACATGTTGGTCCAGCAGATAATCAGCTGCTCTGTTACGGCTCAGGTTCGGGCGGTTACGACCTGTACGGGTATAAGGACTCCATGTCCAGCAGCGGAGGGTTCGGAGGAGGCGGGTACGGATCCAGCGATCGGATGAAGAGAGGACTCTCTGGGGGATCTCTGCTGTCCTCCAGCGGCTCCAACGCAGACGACGTCATCGCCAAGATCAACCAGCGGCTGGACATGCTGACGCAGCTGGAGGGAGGCATGAAGAGCGGCGCTCGCGGAGACAGGTGACGCAGCACACACACCTGAAACCAGACGCATCGTCCGCTCAAACACACTCGCGTGCGCAGCTGCCCTCATCAGCCCGTCTGATGCATAGCTACTATACATTAAAACACCAGATAGTAGACCTAAAAGACAGAAATTGGTTTCAATGTATATCTATGGCGTTAAATTGGATGTTATGCATCTTTTTTGGCACTCATTTCTTTTGGAGGAAACAGAAAATATGGCAAAAGGAAATATTGTTTATCCTTTTACTCCCTCGTATTTCTCAACTTGCTGGTTTTTGACGATATACATGTGTGTTTATTAGGGATGTAACGATGCACGGCGAGCCAGGTTGAAAATCGATACAAATGTGACTATTCAAATCGGTTGAGATATTAAACGAATCGCGATACAGTTGGTGGCAGGAGTTTATATGTGACCCTGCAGCACAAAAGCAGTGTTAAGTCGCTGGGGTATATTTGTAGCAATAGCCAAAAATACATTGTATGGGTCAAAATTATACATTTTTCTTTTATGCCAAAAATCATTAGGATATTAAGTAAAGATCATGTTCCATGAAGATATTCAGTAAATGTCCTACCGGAAATATATCAAAACTTAATTTTTGATTAGTAATATGCATTGCTAAGAACTTAATTTGGACAACTTTAAAGATGATTTTCTCAATATTTAGATTTTTTTGCACCCTCAGATTCCAGATTTTCAAATAGTTGTATGTCAGCCAAATATTGTCCTATCCTAACAAACCATACATCAATGGAAAGCTTATTTATTCAGAACTATTTTTACTCTTTAGAAAAATTGACACTTAAGACTGGTTTTGTGGTCCAGGGTCACATATCAGTGACGGGTAAAAAAAAATCATTTTTAAATCGTTAAAAAAAATGTTCAAAAAAGCCATATATTGTATAATATCCATTTTTGATGTCGCCAATAATTAGAGATGCACCGAAATGCCGGCTGGCGAAAATGAGTTCACCGCTCAGGATTCACTTTCACGTGGTGTGACGCTCTGCGTATTATCCGCTCTATGCGTGTGTGCTCCGCTCAGTCGCTCCACTCGTATACCGTTCATGCTCATCGGAACAGCAAAGTCCACTCAAAAACCGAGCCGACGGGAAACATCAATGTAGTACAGTATTGTTTCTGTCTGCAACAGCCCTACTGTGTTGTAACATGGTGTGGTATGTGGGCAACTCTGGTAACGCTGCCCTCTCATTCATTGATCTGCTAACCGCTATGTTATGCTCGTGTGTTCT